TGGATGGGATGCCAGTCCATCACATTGTTATCCCCCAGTATTTCATTACTTACACTCCTGGGTAGAGAGAGGCACTGTAGTGCTACTCCCCCCTGGATGGGATGCCAGTCCATCACATTGTTATCCCCCAGTATTTCATTACTTACACTCCTGGGTAGATAGAGGCACAGTGAGAGTAATGTGTTTTGACCAAGAACACAACACATTGACCCAACCAGGTCTCAAACCCAGGCCTCTTGAACCAGAGTCCATTGCACCAACCATTAGGTCACTGCATCTCCCACAGGCAGGGTTCATACAGGTCGTGGAAAATCTGCAAAGTCCTGGAATTTTATTTTGACATTTTCCAGGCCTGGAAAGTCCTGGAAAAAGACTACAGGTCGTAGAAAGTCCTGGAAATCTGCTAACTCAAGCAGTAAAGTTTTCAGAATTTATTTTTTTAGAAATGTTTGTAGATGAAGATCATAAGAAGAGTAGATTTTGAAATCATAAGAATGAAAGGGTTTGAGATGAAATTTGAAGTCTGGAAAGATCAATCTGAGTCCACGTAAAGTCCTTGAAATTTTGTTTTCAAAAAGGCTATGAACCTGGCCCATCGAATATCTGGAAAAAGGGATTTGATTGAAATTGTAGTTGACAAAGTTACAAGCTTATTTGATTCTGTTTTCCCATACTGTGAATGCTTTGTTTTTCAGATTCGCTCTCAACGAGACAGTGATCCAGTGCCTTACCTTTGCATGCCTGATGAGCTGGTGTTGTCAATTTTCTCTTTTTTACCACACAAAGACTTGGTATCTTGTTCACGAGTGTGCTGGCAGTTTTATAGAATCTCCATGGATGAATCTTTGTGTAAGGGCTCCTAATTTGTCTTGTTCTTGTTAACAGCCACAAAAAAAAACAAACAAAAACCAAAAATTAAGTTTCTTATCTCAGAAACTTCAGGCTATTACCAATGCCTCTTCCAGAACAGTTTCACATCCACATAATAATGGAATACACAAACATGTAAGACTGTTTTTGTCTACAGCAGCAGTGTACTTTGTATTAAAATTTGGAATGTCTTGGGTTTTAGGGAAAGTCATTGTGGTGAAAAAGAACAACAACATAACTGATGAATGGTTACAAATTATTGGCCAGCGCCGACCAGTCAGTTTGACCATTTCTCAATGTCGCAGTGATAAAGTTACAGCTAAAGGCCTCCGGGATTTGTTCCGCAACTGCAGTGATTCGTTAGAGGTACATTGTTGACATGTTTGTTTGTAGATATGTGTTAGAGTTGTTAGGGTCCTACAATGTAAAGGTACAGGACTGGTGTACGTCATATTTCATTTTTTTTTCCCTTAACCCTAGAACTCCCAGATTGGTGATTAGTATGCAGCTTCTCTCAACAATATCCATACATTAGGTATATACTAAAACAGTGGGTAGTGTTGAAGGCGCACTCTGATTGGCTAGTCAAACTCCAAATATCCTTTGTTATTTACCTCCAAGCAACTCAGGAAAAATTGGCATCCCAGTTTGCATCCGTGACAAGCGAAGAAATCACTCATATTAATGAAGAAGCAGTCCCTGAAAACACAAAGAAAGCGACTAAATTTGGTTTGGCCGTGTTTAAAGGTGGTGGTTTAAGTTTTTAACCTGGAGTTTATTGATAAAAACCAATGAGAAAGGTTTTGTTTACAAATCCAAATTAATCTTACGTGACCTCACTTGTTCACTTCCACGCATGAAAATGTTGGAATCATTGCTGGAATGCATGAATTAAAATCAATTTTCAGTGGTTTATATTATCTCACTGTTTTAGTATATACTAAAACAACTATTCACCTCAGTGTCAGAGGTTAGCAGTGGATATTTACCTCGCCGCTTTGTGGCTTGGTAAATATTCACCACTAACCACCTCCACTTCGATGAATAATTATTATAATTATACAGCAAACAGGTAATGAGAATGCTCAAACTTATTAGGTAGAAGTTGTTATCTTGATCCAACACTAAATTCTCATAACAAATTTACAAAGAAATGTGAAGCAGCTAGAGGGGAGAATATTCAATTAGATCTTGCGAGTTAAGGTTGACAGTGTCATGCTTAATAGATCCCATGTTGGGGTCATGCTGTTCAATAACACAGCATCGTGTAATCTATTTGTTTTATATGATAAAAAAAAAAACCAAAATGTCATTAATAGTGACATCATCTACAGTTGTAAGCCTGTGTCATCCAATACTTCATACAGTAAGTAACAACTAATTGAAATCCACGTGTGATTCTGCTTGTTCTTCACATGTCCAAGCCATACATGCACAGCTGTAAATGCACTTGTACAGTGTGGCATTTTTGCTATTGAATAATGACTGACAGTGGGCAAGAATTTACAAAAGAACTGTTACTATACTGTAGTTTTTAGCACCCTAAACATTTAACACATCCTCAAATACCCTCCCTTTGTGAAATTTTTATGTTATGATTTGGCTTTTGTTCTTGGCACTCTGACTAGGACTGACAGTTCAAACTGTGAATGTAATTATGACTTATTTTACAATTTGAGGAAAGTGTGTCAAAGATCCAGTGCACAATTAAAAACACATTGTTTGTATCAACCTACAGGACCTGAATTTTAGTCGTTGTGGTGGCAGTGAGGTGATTGGTGAGTCTATATTGCTGCATGTAGCTGCACGCTGTCAGTGGCTTAAGTCTGTGGATGCTAGCTGGAGCAATGTTAGTGACAATGGAGTCCAAGCATTAGCCGATAATGTGAAGAGGTGACTACAAAGTCCTTTGATACCAAAGTTTATTTGTGGAGCTGTACCTACATATACATGTACATTTTTACAGCTGTAGTTCCTATAGAAGAAATATAAGTTTTCCAGAAAACATTACATGTACAGTGTACATGTAATTTTTCTTTCTGTCACCAAAAAAGAAATACAAAATTACAACACTTACCTGGTTTGGAGATTTCTGTGTAACCCACTGTGGTTATTTAAAAATTTTTGCAAAATGTGCTGCAACTCAAGTACCTGTATGGTTGCAGCCCTTTATGCACTGTGCATCATGAAGATTTTTCAACTTATTCAATTAAACTTTTCTGTCTTCAATTATCCACATTCTTTTTTGACATACTGTATTATTTCAGTAATTTTTTTTTTTATATATTCAAACCTTGATATATTTATAATTACTGCTTCTGCCACATAGAAGGTACATTTTTTTTTTTTGCATATGGCTACACGTTAAATGACATTTACGAGTGATACCTCATATCACTTTTTTTTGTCAATTCTTAATATAAATTTATGCAATACTGCTACAGATTGGAGTGTCTTTGCCTGAATGGCTGCCAAGCAGTTACAGACCAGTCTATAAAGTGTGTGGCAAACAAACATGGCAGTTGGTGAGTTTCCTATTTGGTTGAATGCTAAGGGAGAAATGCGTTGAAGTCACATTAGTAAATGATTGGAGCTTTTTTCAATATGGTGCTAGCAAACCAAACTACATGCACAGGACATACATTATTTTGAAATTCCCTAAACAGACGAAATGGTAATTGCCTGAGTTGTAACTTTGAGTGTGATTAACTGATAAGGTGGTGCAAGTTTAACAGCACAACTACGGAGTATAGTAAAACAAAAACTTTCCAGTAATACACTTCTGTCCAGTAGCTCTTTATTCTCCTGAACGTGTGTTTATTCCCCATGTTCCCAAACCACTAAATTTAAGTTGTAAGAAACTCTAGAAGCTTTAATACTAGTAGAAAACTATATATGTACATCGCTTGATTGGGGCTTTAGCTGATTTACCCAATGAGAAAAAAGGGAGCAAAACAAAACGCTTACAAGGCAGGAAATGGATAACTTGCCATAATGGACTATTCAGGTGGTTTTTTTTTTGTTTGTTTTCTTCCACACGCTTCGTTTCTTAAGAGTAAAATTAACATGTACATGTACCAAGATCCCAGATTAAGGGTGTACCTGCAGTGCTTGCGACCCACTTTGATATACTTGTAGAACATAAAACTTTTTGAGTGTGATTTTATTTGTACATGTACTTAAGATGCTGACGCAACGATAACTTTTTTCTTTTTTTTTTTTGTTTTTGGGGGGGGGGGTAGCCTCAGAATTTTTGAAGTCTTTGGCTGCTTTAACATCACAACAGCAGGGATTCGGCTTCTTAGTCAGACTTGCAGGCATTTGCAGACCTTAAACATTGGCCAATGCTACAAGGTACATGTACGACTGATTTATGCTTCTCCTTGGACAGAATGATTTTGTACTCTAACCTCAGTATGCATATTCTCTATACATTTCCTAAGGTGCTACAAGGAGAATTTGTTTAACAATCGAAAGCTTCTTTATTTGGTGATCGTTTCCTTTATTCTCCTGACCTTAATGTGTGATTCAGGGGTGATATTGTAAAGAGAAATTAGATTTTAGTCCCTCTTACAGTAGAAGTCAAAGGGTTATAGCGCGGAAAAAAGCGAGTCACTGAGTCGCATTTGTTTTTGGTTTCGTGTCCGGGTGACTGAATATCGCGAGAGTTTTCTTGACCAATTCCAGAGAGTATTGAAATGAAATCAGAGAAATCGTAGATTTCTTTCAACGTGAATCAAAAAGTGGATGTTCTTTAGTCTTGGCCGCAGAGAGGCGTAGGCAGGCTAGTTCATGTGTCCCTGCTGTAGAATCTTGTGCCACTAGCGTCCTATCCACTGCTGCGATTTTGATTGAGGCAAATGATCACGTTGGAAATGAACAAACTTCATGTTTCGTGTTACTCACAACGCTCAAAATATTTTGCTTCTTCCCAGATCACTGACTCTGCTATTGGCTCGTTGGTCTCTAATCTTCCAGAACTAGAAAACCTTGATCTTCGAGGGTGTAAACATGTACGTTACAGTTCTTCGCCTATTGCATCAGATATTCTAATAATGTTTCTGTCCATGCATGCAGCTTTTGCTTACTTATATAATGTATCTGTAGGCTCAAACAGTGTAGGGGCATTTTTTTTAATTAAAGGATCAGTGAATTAAAATTGGGACTCGTCCTGACAGAAATGGACTTTTTAGTTACAACAAGTCATACAAAAAAAGAAAACAATTGATGGTGAAAAAATGTCCACACACACTTCTGTTTATTCCAGCAGCCAAAAAGCGACATAATCAGATGTTAATGCATAATTGTGTCCGTTCAAGAAAGTAAACATTACATTTGCAACTCTGCATAGTTAAATTTAATAATACAATACACAGTCTTCAAATTATATTTGGGAGATATAGTTCTTAAATGTCACCTTGTTTATCGGTTTGATACTTTTATCTTGTTTTGAAATTTAATGCCTTGAACATGATCGTTCATATCCAGGTACGTGATTCAGCCGTGAAGAAGATTGTCCGTCACTGTCCTTTGATAACCACACTAGCACTTGCTAACTGCCCTCTGATTACAGACGTTTCTTTGGCCGAGATCGCCACTAACCTTCCTAAAATAAGGTGAGGTACTCGACCAAGTAGTTAGGTACATATATGTCTCATGGAGATTGAATCTTTAAAGGATCACTTTTTTTACGATGCGAGTTTTGCTGGCTTGAAATTTGCGTAGAAAAATTCAGATCATGTTCTTAGCAATTATTTATTTTGTTTGGCGTGGTTGATGAGGTACAAATTGTAACGGTTCTCTAAAACATAGCCTGCAAATATACCTCTGAAGATTAATCTGTAAGAGAGAACGCTCCGTGAAATCGTACAATATTTGTAGTTGTAAACCAATTTCTTTCTTGCTCAACAGGTCTCTGGATATATGCGGATGTTCAAAAGTTAGTGATAACGGTATCTGCGCTCTTTCAAAGAACTGCCACAGACTGGAACTATTAGACTTAACGTCTACTGGAGTGGGTCAGAAGAGGTTGGTAGAATAGGCTGATTCCCAAATTTTTATTTTAATACTTCCTTCGGGAAACCGTTCATTTACCTATCCTTGTGTGTTAGTAGGGAGAATTTTTTTGTTCTATCAAGATGCATGTAACCCCCTGTGGCAGATCAGGTTATCGATTCTCATTAGCTGTTTGCTGTATCGTCAGGGGAAGCTACGTGCCAATTTTCTTCTAGGATTATATGGATTTGATGAGTTCTTGGTATGATTATTTCTCAAGATATTTTCTTTAATCGGTATATTACCATTTTTTCGCCCAGCTTTCTGTGCTGAGAACTCTCAGTTTGTCTTCCTGTTTGAAGGTCATATTCATATTGTGGGCAGGGAAAAAAACACCCAATTCGCCCAATACAAGATAATGATGATATGGATGACATAAGGAAACCACACCTCAGTTATCGTTTTGATCCCAAAGAGTTCGTCCCTTGACTTCAACTTGACATGTATCTTGGGGTCGGTTCACAAGTGTGATCGCTAAAATTGCGTTTTATTTTCCCAGCAACATTGCAGCGTTACAAACTTGTCTTAAAACCCTTTTTCAACGAAATTTAATCTCCAGGATGTACACTTTACATTGTACATAGTGCTTTTTCTCCTTCGGTCTATGAACGTCCTCTGCTGGTACAAAATAGATTATTTTCTAATTAAAACTCATCCAGGGTGCGGTCGGGAACTAAATTGTGGGAACAACCCCCCTCTGTTTCTTACTTATGGTAACGGCTGACTGACTATTGGTCCTCTTGTGTATAAATGCAAACCCATTTGTTTTTGTTTTGTTTTTTTTATTTGTTATTTTTAGTGTCTTGTCACTCGCCAACTACTGCAGTCAGAGTTTGTGCAATTTGAAGCTGAGTTTCTGCACAGACATTTCGGAAAACACGGTGGTTCACCTTGCTAAACAATGCAAAAGGTAAGAGTGACCATTGATGGTTTGAAACTTTTCACAGATACGTAACCCAAGAATGTTCTGATAAATTTTAAGAAAACTTCAACTGCGAGTTGAAATCAGAATGAGCTAATAGACTTAACTATTCGTAACTTTAAATTACTTCAAAACGATCCAGAGACGAGCACTATCTTTTCGCAGCCTCCGCTCATTTCATTCAAACGCGACAAAAACATAGGCAGTTTTTTGGTCAGAAGTTCTTTTCAGACTAATGAGCAGCCAGGCACTTTTAAATGCGCTCGTGCACGATGCAAAACGTGTCCTTTCATTTACAACACTGATAAAATATCGGGAACTAAACGGTCCATTAAGATCACCGATCACTTCACGTGCACCTCCGCCAATGTAATCTATTGCATAACTTGCACTTATTGCAAAAAGATATACATCGGCGAAACAGGCAGAAGACTAGGTGACCGATTCCGAGAATACCTTCGAGACGTGGAAAGGAATAACAAGGACACATCGAAACCAGTCGCTAGACATTTTAATTACCTAATCATTCTAAGCAACATATGGCAATCTGCGGTCTTTCCTTGCACTTAGGTGGCACGGAAAGTCGTAAAAATCTTGAACAAAAGCTCGTCTTTCAAACCGGCAGTCTAAATCCCACAGGGATCAACGAACGCTTTTCATTCCACTAATTTATTCGTGTTTTTCCCGTTGCCATGCTCCCACCAATAACGTAGCTCCATTCTCTGCCTTTAAAAGCACACACAACCCACAATTCCTCTATTCGCTCCGACGAAGGGCTAACGCTCGAAACGTCAGCTTTTGTAATCATTACGGTGGCCAATTTACCATTTCAACTTTGTTGATATATCCAAATTAAGTATTCCTAGCCTTCTTCGTTTGTTTCTTTACAGATTTGTTTCGCTCTCTTTTAAGTTGTATATTTGATTTTTTTGCCACAAATTTACTCGGCTTAAGTCCTGAGAGGACTTAAAGAAATGCTTCGTTCTACACTTGCGACGACTGAGTTTACCTTCTCCATTTTTTTCTCGTCATAGGTTAACCATGTTACACTTGTATGGATGCAAGCGAATACGTAACACATCGTACCTGAGATTGCTCAACCCAGCTCTTACCATTGAATGTTAAAGTGTGAGGACATTTGATATCTTCTTTCTGTTAAGAAAGAGGAGGTTTGGAGACGAGCATGCATTGCGAAATATTGGCTTGTCTGTTCACGCCATTATTTCAGAATCTTCGTTTCGATTTCGAGCTTTCCAGTGTAAATACACGTGTTGCGATGCGTTTAAATAATGCTTCGACGCAGGCTAACATTTGTCTTTTGATTTGCGATCCTCTCCACAAGCCTCCATACCATGTAACAGCGTGTTCACAGAGCGGTCAAACGAAGGGCATGCGCAAATCGACTAAGTTTTCGCAACCGTGCGCCCATTTCACGATAAAACTGATCTCAAAGAAAACTTTAAAAAAATTATAATAATGCAAACAAACTAAAAAAAAAAAAAAAAAAAAAACCCACCGGTGTCGCGGCACAATTTACGAACAATTTTATCGTTTATAAAAATCTGTAAAGGCAAAACAGAAGAAGGAAGAAAAGTTGGGGTTTTCGATCGCGAAAGTTACTTAATTGCGGGTACTTTGAACTTTAAACTTTTTTTCAGAGCTTTATTAAGAGTGTTATACGCATTTAGAAACCGTGGCTTACTAGCTTTTGTGGTTGTTTGTAACCCTATGAGGCAATTTGGTTCTGATAGTCTTAGCGCAAGATGTTGGGCCGCCTCTTTGTTGTTCAACTTTTGCACATGCGTAGACCTTTGACCGCTCTGTTTTTAGTGTGAACTGGTGTAATACTGTGGTTCTTACAAGGGTGGGTTAGGGCTACTCTGCACTGGTCATTTTTCACAAGTAGTGTGAAATATTAGGGAGAAACTGGAGAGCTGTTGGGTTCCATAAGTTTTAAAAAAGAAGGGACAGCGTCAGTAAGTTTAGAGATACAATGTAATTGTTCGTTTAGATTAAGGAAGTAGAAGTTATGAACTAGAAAAAAGGTTTGATTTCTGTGAAATTTGCGTGGGTTAATATGTAGTTAAGAAACTGTCTCTGTAAGCGTCTTACATCTCAATGTTGTCTTCCAACCCACTTTTTTTTTTTTCGAGAGTAACGCATCACACTTCTTGTAAGAGAATTCAGGTTTTGATAGAATGACTATTTCTTGGGAAAAAAGAGTTTTTCAGGTACTTGTTGGTGTAGTTTAACAGTTGCTTGTGTAGTTTGATCGTTCTTGTTAGATAGTGAATGTTTTTTTTTTTTTTTTTTTTTTTCGAACCTGGGCATACCTCACTAGTAAAGAAGAATTGCAGACTTCCGTGATAAAAACGCCCTTTTGAGTATTAGCCTCACCTGGACGATAGTGCTACACAATCAACTGTTTTTGCTTTGGTTCCCTTTGTTTCTTTTTGGTTTTTCATTTTTTTGGTAGTTTTTCAGTGTCGAGTTTCTTCGTTGTACACCAATTTTAATCTAATATGACAGCTTGTCACGCAACGTGCTGCCTCTGTTATGTGACCATAATAAGCCTGAACAGTGGCGCTGAAACAAACTACATCTTTTTGAGTTATGCAGAGGTAAGATTTGAGTGATTTGTCGATCATCACGGTACCGAAAATTTTCACTTTTATTGATATGAAATATTACCGTAACCCAATGACAATTGTTTTTTCGAAATCGAGTTTTCTCTTTTTACTTTCGTCCAAAAGCCTTCGCAGTTTTTTCGTCAAGTCTTGGATTCATTTCTGTCAGAAAAGAATAAATAAATGTATCAGTAAAATTACTCATAAAATGGAATTCACGAAATACGCTTGTGCAAATTTAGTAAGATCTTGTAATAAAGTTAACTCTTTATTTTGCCAAGTTGTTTTAACTTCTTTTTTCTAGAAAACCATGACTTGTACTTGTACCATGGTCGCCTAACGTTTAGCGCACTTGAACGGGTCGAGGGAAGCCCTAATTATAAGCAACTGCAGGAGCATATCTTTGCCCGCGAGAAAAGAATAACCCTTGAGCAACGCGAGCCGCCAAGAGATACGCAAGGGTGTAGCTCTGAAAATTAATGCCAGACTCCCGGAGAACCTCACCTCGACTCTTTTCGAATCAGGCGGAGTAACGCGCGACTTGTAAGGCTGCCCGCAAACTATGCCGAGGGTTTTAAGTTTGGGACCAGGCCTGACGAAATATATAAAGTTGTGGGGAGACATGGAGACTTAACCTTTCCTATTGAAAATCCTTGATTTTTGCTGTCGTCTTAACCTTGATTTGTTTTTTCTCAAATGTTTAATAAACGTTGAAGATCGTTCCCTTCTTAATTTTTTACAAAAGAAAGGCACTTCAATTGAGATATATTCCGGCGGAAAGTGCCTCTCGTACTTGGGAAAGAAGTGTTTATCTTGATGTTTGTACCAATTCACAGATGGTGGACTAACATCAAGCAAAGCTTGGTTATGCTTACAACTCACCTTCAACGTTTCTCTTCCTCCTCCAGCCCGCCACCCCTCCACTGTTACCAGCTGCCTGATTCAGTTCCTCCATTCTGTGTTCCCTCGCTCGTTCCATCGTTTCCTCGTAATCTGCACTTGTTGTGTGATGTGTGATGAAGTAGAAGCCGATCAGCGAAAGAGCGAATGTAGTTAGACAAAGTCGCATCTGCAAACAACAGAACATCAGATAATGCGAAAAAATGTTTTATTCGCACCTGCACTCGCTAGTTTCTTTTTGGCAAAGTTCAGCAGCGAGGAAACTTGCCAAGGATTCTTTTTCAGTGAAACTGCGGAGAAAGGATTTCATGGACAAAAAACTTTTACAAGTCTCATTCAACTTATCTGCAGGAAAATTTTTTTCGGCTGGGAGCAAACTCCTTATCAAAGGTGCAAGTCAGTAGAAATTAAAATAAAGATGAACCGGTTCACTCTGAATGCCTCCATTCTCAGAGTTTAAGCGG